CTACCTACCCTACCCTACCTACATATATATATATATATATATATATATATATATATATATCGATCCACGGAACGGCAACGAAGACGAGGAAAAATGTTCTTTCTCATCTTTTCACCGACGTCTAATCGTATATCGTGTTGTATATCACTGTATCAACGAATCCATCCACGGCGGTCACTGATTCGAAAAAAATTTCGTATCGAAACACACGATGGCTCAAGATTAAACAGCGAGTGTATATAAATAATATACTTATCGTACGCGTGTATCATCACTGGATCGAAAGATGGAAGAGATGGAAGGCATGGAAGCACGTATAAAAGAAAAGAAAAAAAAGAATTAAAGCAATCAAAGAGACTTACACTCGAGCGGTGTGAATGTGTATGGCAATGTTGTGTGTGTGGGTGGGTGGGAGACGCGTGTGTGTGACGTGTATGAGGGTTCGCCTCGGAGCACCAGCCGAGCAAGTAGATGCTTCTGAACAGGCACGCACGGAAGAGCTTTTGCCGGTGGAATGTGGAGTCCGCGACGGCTTGAGCGGCTCTGAAGTCCTGCGATCAGGGCCTGGACATTACCAAGACTCGGAACGATGCCTACACGGCCGACTCGGGATCGCTCCCTTTCATTTCGCTATTAATAGAAAGGAGATCCGCGTCTGTGGGCCGCGAGCGTGATACGATCCTGGCACGCTACTATTTTCGTACTCCTTCTACAGTGCCCGCGCCGTGGATCTCGTTCCCGTGGGCCCCTTCCGCCGCCTGTCTTCCGCCCCCGCAATCATCCATGGAGTGTTTGGGGAGGGATAGGTGAATTTTGAATATCTCGATTAGGAGAGCCGAATCCATCGATCGCCAGAGGGAGCTCGCTCGACCCTTGTTTTGTTCCCTCTTGTTCTTCCTTTTCTTCTCTTTTTGCTAAGAATTCTGGTATTCTTTGATTGAGAAGACTGGACACGTGAATGATACGATCGATGGGATTAAGAGTATTGGGATGGAAGGATGAAGATCAAAGAGAGAAGAGAACTACTTTTTCGTCACTATATTTCTCTTAAATATCGTTTTGGAACGTGTGTTATATGAATACGCGTGTTTTAGTTTAGATTAATTTAATACTTTTTATTCGAATATTAAGTATTGAATAAGTAGCTGTAACTTTTATATCGACGCTCGCTTCTTTTGATTCTAAACGTTATAATTGTTACCGACGGTTGATATTAAAGGAGTATCTAGTAACTTAATCAATTACGTATGATTAAAACAGTTATATACACTCTTCTTGTTCCATATTTTATTGTACGATATACCCTCGTGATTGAAGATTGATTTAATTTATGTATTTTAAATCGAACATATGTACTCATCATGAGATCGTTTGCCATTCACAGTTTCAAGTTAACAAACGTACTGAATTTCCTAGCTCGATGGTAACTATCTCAATTCCCAGAGTGCAAGAGTATCAGCGAGTAGAGTATCCAAGTGTATCCACGGTCATTTAAAAATAGCTATTTATTCGAACGTTATACCGTAACCATTCGCGAATCTTTCCATCTTTCTTTCATTTTACATTTATTCCCATTCATGGTTAGCGCGAAGGAAAGGAAATACAGTGTGCTTTTAGTGGTTAAAGCGAAAAATCTCGAGTTCGTAATTGTGCTCGCGTTTGAGAGGAGAATTGGAGAGATTTAGAGAGGAAAAGATAAAAAATTACGGCGAATTAAAAGAACTCTTTACGAAATATCCTGTTAAGTGCATTTTTGTTTGTATTCATATCTACAAGAGGAAAAGCGTCTCGATGTTATCTACAATATGAATTCTGATTTCTCGAGTAAAATTTAAGATACGAAATATAATATTCGAGATACGTATAAAATTTTACTTAGAAATATGGCTCTCTTATTAATAAAATGTCTATCACGATGTTACACGCAATGTGATTATTTTTTCCAGTCGTGTGAAACGTGTAATACAGAGCTATAACGGAATATGTATTAATGCAGAACTAACGAATTGTGGGACGCAATCGTGTTACGAATTGACGTTACGTGTTTTTGCAATTCAAATCGTATAAAATGGTGAATCGCATTTTTCTATCTAACCTGGTGATCTAGTTTCTATTCTTTTGTCATTGCATTCGTTTGATTCATTCGATGATATTTTTTGTGTAATTCGATCGAAGATATTTTCATGATATTTTAGTTATTGAGTTTTTAATTGTTTAAAAATTATGCGAGGAATTTTATTAGAATCAAATTATTTGACTTTTCTTTATTCTCTTGTGAATATTTTATTTTTTTAAATTTAATGATGGCCGAATATGGAAAACCATGTTCTTCAAAATTCAAAATCCAAAGAATTTTTATAAAATAAAAATAAAAAACTAATATTACAAGTTTCAAGAAAATCGGTTTATCCTCATTCCTCCTTTTTAAGCAAAAATTATTTCTGCATATGTTAGAAATGAAAACAAGATTTTGAGATATGATTTTTTTTTTTTTTTTGCGACTAAGTTATTTCTGACGCTGATATAGCTACATTATATCTGTCTTGTAGTCGTTTCATGTTCAACCTCGCCATTGGTGGAAAGTTTACTGCCCACCGGTCTACGTGAACATGGTATACTAAATATACATATATCTACCTTCGAGCAATGACAACATGAAGTTTGTAGCAATTCTGCTCAAAGTCATTCGATGCATACCTTTGAATACTAAAAATTAATATAATCATTATCGCAAGTAATATACGAATTGTAATTTATTCACATTTGGCAATGATAAATAAATATACTATATAAACAAAATATCTTTTAATCAAAAAATATTTTATTTATAATGATTTTTTTAATTTGTTTCGTCAATGATTACATATGGTTTTTGATATAATATATAAACAAAATCTTAATAAAATGGAAATTTGTAATATTAAAGAAATAAAAAAAGAGATATTCAAATATGATAAATATAGAGTGAGCAAACAAAAAAAATATATAAATATTTCAAAAGGATGTGAATAAAAAATTCCTATAATATAAAATTCCTATAAAATTCCTAAAATTATTTTCTGATGAAACGTTAATTAAATCTCTTACTTATTTCAAAACTAGAAACTAATAATTGCTACAGTGAATAAATTAAAATGATTACAATAATACAATATATATTCAAGTACATTGTTATAATGATAAATTAATAATATAAAATTCAAATGATATAAATAGTCAATTAAAAGAAAAAAAACTGCTCGCAAAATCTACATAATATCATGTATATTCGGCTCTAGCAATGATCGCGTACGAGTTACTACTCCGGCAGCTGTGTCCGTGAATAAAAAAAGCACTAGGGACGCAGCAAATGCTGTGTTGTGCAAACGAGAGCAGCGGCCGAGCAGACGAAATAGGAGTCGCGATAAACGAATGTCGGTTGGCCCTCTGAGACCTTGGCGATGGTAGAGGAGACAGAGTGAGACGAATCGAGGAAAGAGGCTACCTTATCAGAGTCAGCCTGGAGGCTTAAACTTCGTCCGCGTGGTCGACGTCGAACCACGATGCGGCTCCATATATGGAGGGGGCCATGCTAGGGAGAGGGTGCTACAACGCTCGGGTATAAAGTTCCACGACGCTAACGACGTCTCTTCACACCGCGCCAGAAAGCTCGAATCCCTTGGCTACGTCGTTCTGTTGATGATCGTTGCTGATAAATTGTCCGTACGATGTCTCTTAATCTCTCGTACGCCCGCTCAATTCGAAGAATTTAAGCTCTGCCGAAATTTTAATACGACATTCTGAATTATATATATATATATATAATAGAATGAAAATATAAATCTCCGGTAATTGAAAAGTTTGAATAAATATTATTTTATTATTGTATTTCATTTTCAAACAAAAAAAAATTTTTTTTTATCTTACTCAATAATGAAAGTTCCATTATAAAATAATTTACTTTTCAAAAATTAATTTCATTCATTTGCAAATTAAATTCGCATGATTTATCTCTATACGTATTATTTACTAATATATTGAACATTATTAATCGTAGATGTGTCAATTATTTTCTGATAAAACTATTAAATTAAATTCCTGTAATTTTATCGATTAAATGATTCGATGTTAATAATTTAACCAATGACATAAAATTAAACAATGATCTTGTAAGAATAGAGAATTATATTGATAATTTTTATTAAAATTGAAATAGATTACTTTTTATTTTTGATAAAATCATTGTTTTTTTTTAACGTTTGTGATTTATCTTAAAATGTTTTTCTCTTTTTCTCTTGTATTATGTTGTTTTCGAAAGTGAATGTAACATAATTCACTAAGAATTTTGACATCCGCTAAAATTTATGCAATGTTAAAAAAATTCCAATAAAATTTCAAATAATTTTAAAGTTTTAAAAATCATGTTTTATAAAAATGTAAATGTAGCAAATATGTAATAAAAAAAAAAAGTATTTTACTGAATTTCGAAAATATTTTTTAAATTTATATCATTTCATAAATATTCTATTGAGAAAATATTAAATAAATGTTTCATTAAATTTCTTTATTGATAAGTTTATTATTATATTATTTATAAATAAATTATAAATAATTGTTATAAGTAAAATTTGTACATTATTTATAAATTTATATAATATTTACAAATTAAAAACATTTTTACAAAAATATAAAATATTTTGAAAACAAATATTTAATAATGGTAAATTGTTTCATAATGCATTAAAATTGTATTGTTCCTAATGTTCCTCTCTCTTTATAAAATATATAGATCTTAAATATTTATATTGGATACAAGTCAAAACTGCAAAATTTACAGAAAAATCTTTCAACGAACACAAGTAAAATATTACACAATAATATTTTTGGAAAATATCTTAATGTTGCATTTCATTTATGATTTTTAGTTATAAAATAAAATTCCCAAAAATAAGATTAAAATATAAAATTTTAATGATGACGATGATGATGATGATGATGATGATGATGGTGATGATGATGAGTATGATGATGTGTATGTTCTTGATGATGATGATGAGACCTTATAATATTAGGTACAATTGGTTTTTTGAAAGGTCTATCTCTTCCACCAAATCTAAGTTGACCCGATTCCTTTTTACCACCAAAACCACCGCCTACAAAATTATATATTTAATTAAATTTCTAAAAATTTTTAAATTTGATTAAATAACATCTATTTATATATATAATATAACATTACAAGTAAATACAATGTGATTAATTACCAAGTCTTCTTGGTTTCCATCCTTTCAAAGTGCGTCCACACTCATAATCTATAAAAATTTGATAACCTTTTAATGTAGCATCAACACAGCGTCTAAGTACTCTTTTAGCTTCATCTTCGCTTCTCATCTCTACAAATCCATAACCATGAGATAATCCAGTTACAATATCAACTATAACTTTTGCCGATATGACTTCTCCATATTTAGAAAAAAACTAAAATCAATATTTATATTTAAAGTATATACTTGTTATATTAATAAAAACTATTATTAAAAAATTATTATTATACCTCCTTTAAATCATGTTTTGTAATTTTTGGACCAAATCTAGCAACGAATAATGTTCTTTCTGGTTTTGATTTTAAGCCATGAGGAGATTCATAATGCGCTTGCATGGCACGGCTAATAGCTTTATCATGTGGTTCTGTATCTGTACCATCAATACTACCTGCTTTCAAGGGATCATATTCTTTGGCAAATGGACTCCAATTTTGTAATGTATTCGCCTGAAACATATATATTAACATTTTAAAAAATATTAATAATTTAAAGTAAAGAATATTTATATATTACAAAACATAACCTTCAAAATTGTATGAATACTTTATACAAATAATATTTTAATGTAACATTAATATTTTAGTTTTTAATAGCAAAAATGATTTGTTTTTTATTATAAAATATTGTTTACCTACCATTTTTATAGACAAATTATAATAAATTGTCAGCAATAATTTAAATTAGAATAAAAATACTGTCAAATTATATAGTTCAATACATATTTCATATTCATATAATTATATTCAATATATATTTCTATTTATAATTATTAATATTTTCTAAAAATGTTTGTTTTTAGAAAATACAATACATTTCACATAGAAAAAAAACAAGATATGTTAAATAACAATATAACATAATAACATACTATTACCATAGATGAGATAATAGAATAGATTTAACAGCTATATTTGATTTTTTTTTTTGTGTTTTGAAATATCAATTATAAAAACATTAGAATAATTTATAATAATTATTTTATTTTATATATATTATACTATATATTATAACATAAAATACTATTTAATAATAAATTTAAATACAATAGGTCATAAACATACAAACTTTTGTTTATAAGAATTTTTGAAAATATTTTTTAATTGTTCAAAATAAAATTGTCCAAAAATTTATTAATTTAAACCTATTTTAGCCAATATCTTAAATATTTTAAGTATCAGTAAGTCGAATAAGAATAAATTTGATAATAATTAAGACTCTTATCTCAATCTAAATATTTATTACAATAAATGTATTACAATAAATTTATTTATTATGTAATATAGATCACTATTATACAATGAATCAATATTCCAATTATTTATAGACTAATACAGTAAAATATATGATTTATTTTTTGTTTATATTAATTATTTATTGTAATTTTTTATGAGATATATTATACAATATAATAATTTTGTAGTTATACATTATATATTATACATAATATTATTACATAATATTTCATTAATATAATTTATTTTTTAAAAATTTATTTAATTTTAAACATTTATCCAAATATATTTATATATATAAATATTCATATAAATTTTTATAGTTTACAAAATGTAGTTTTTATGTTTAAATAATAGTAATTTAGGATTTCAATTTTTTACAAAGAATCTTATATAGATTAACATGTTCATAAATATTAAGAATGTTTATAAATAATTATTAAAAATAATATCTATGTCTAGAATTTTTTTATAAAAATGTGATAATTATAATTATTTCTTATATTCGATTGTAAAAGTAATATATGAAACTTTTATATTTCAAAGATATTATTATTATTTATTATTTTAAGTATCTAAATAAGCTATATTCAACACATTATTGCGCGACATCTGTACATAATTTACATGAAGGTTGCATTGCAGAGACATCTGACAGTACAAGTCTTCGGATTTTAGTTGGTATTCGATGAAGTTGGTTCGACGTGAATAATTAAGAAAAATGAACGTTGTTGCGAAATCGACAAATTTCTTACCACTCTTAAAATCGACATCTGTCATTTCAAATGGAATGCAACCAGTGACCGGAAGGGGTATTGTAGAAAAAACAAAAATTATTACTAAATCTGACGTCAACCGAATTCTCGTTCAAAGTTTGCATGAATCTCTTATTACAGGAGCTCTGCGAGTGAGTTCAGGAATTGGAGGTTCGAAACTTTTAATTCAAAGTTATTTTATTAACTTTTGTATTTATTTCAACAAAATTCATTTTATATTTCGATTATATAATCATATGCTGTATTCAGTACTTACACATTTACTGTTAGATTAGATTACTGTTATACCAATTGAGTTTCTAAATGTTGCACAAACTTTTTTGCGTATTTTAGGAACTAAAAAATATTTATAAATTTATATATATATTAACTAAATTATATATATAAAATATTTCTATTGGCTTATTTCATATAGTACATTGAAAGCAAAGATTTGATTGAACTAATTATTGCAGCAAGTTTATTAGCAACGCAGAGGAGGTTAGCACATACCGATATTCAGTGGCCAGATTTTAGTGATTATCGTCATGAAGCTGTACAAGATCCAAGAAGTAAAAGTAAAGAAAATTCAAGTAGCCGCAAATCATTTGCATATCTTATGACAGCTGGTAAATAAATCTTTTAATTTTTTATTTTATTTCAATTTTAGAATTATATAGAAATATAAATTTTGATATTATTATATAGCAAGTGGAGTTACTGGTGCTTATATAGCAAAATCAGCCATACATAACTTAGTAGCTACGTTTAGTGCTTCAGCCGATGTACTTGCATTAGCAAAAATTGAAATAAAACTTGATGCTATTCCTGAAGGAAAAAGTGCTGTCTTTAAATGGCGAGGAAAACCTATATTTGTACGACACAGGTAAATAATTTCTGTATCACTTTTTAAATGATATTTAACCAAATATAAATATAGATTTTTGTTTACATGATAATAGGTCAACAAAAGAGATTGAAAAAGAGGCAGCAGTTGATATTAAAATTCTTAGAGATCCACAAGTAGATTTAGATCGTGTAAAGCAGCCACAATGGCTGATTGTTTTAGGTGTATGTACACATTTAGGATGTGTTCCAATTGCAAATGCAGGTGATTTTGGTGGTTATTATTGTCCTTGCCATGGATCTCATTATGACGCCAGTGGAAGGATTAGAAAAGGACCAGCTCCATTAAATTTGGAAGTACCACCTTATGACTTTATCGATGATAATACAGTAGTTATTGGTTAATGTATTAATATATGTAGTGAAATGATAAATGTAATTTATATCAAATTGTTTTACACAAATTCGATTTTTATTTGTAAATTTTTTCCTAGAACTATCACTATATCGAAATGTTATGAAACTACGGTGAAATATAAATAAAAAATTTAAGTTAATTTATATAATAGTTTTTCTATTTTTTATTTATACTTAAAGTTTATTAATTTTATCAATATTATTATAATTTAAATTATTCTATAATTACTTTATTTATATATCATAAAAACAAATTATTTTTATCTTTTTTAATTAGGTAAAATATTTAATACAATCGTACATTTTTCAATAATTTATTCTACTATAATTATAAGACAATAATTTACAAATAGAAAGCTTATTTAAATTTTATAATAAAAGAAATATTTCTTATTATAAAGATCTTGAAAATCAAATAAATTTTCCCGCTTCCGCGAGACGGCGCCACTGATTCCGGACCAAATTTTCATTTTCAATGCGTGATAAGGACGTCTATGTGACCGACAATCTGGCTGCCGATTCTCTGTTTTCAGTTGCCTTCGCTGCTGGCAGCGTACGGACGAAAGAGTTAAGAGTTTTTCGCGAAAATCGGTTCTTTTACATACATTGTCATCTTCTCGCCGCTCTTGTATATGATGATCCAAAAATCCCTAATCCTAGAACAAGTGATTTCGGTGACCTACTATTTAAAATAAGGATGGAAATGTTTCGTTAAAAATGAATTTTTTTCTTGCATGGTACCGGCATTTAATGATATGTCGCGAAAGGGTTAGAATAATTTTTAACATTTCGAATTAAAAGAAAGTTTGAAAAATTAAGAAAAGGAAGAATACGAAACGGAGAAAGGCGGGAAACGGATGCGTGGAAAACCGATTTTCGTAAGTTTTTATTTAATACATATATTCAATACCTTATAATTTCACTTATAAATCTTATTTTTTTTCTATATTATTATTTTAATATATGCTTATTATTGTTAGTTTTCATATCATGATATCATATCATAAAAATTTAAAATGATCATGAAAAAGAATATGAATAAAGAAAAACATATAAAATATAACTTAAATTTTTACAATAGAATTAATTTTTCGATTTTCATGCATTTATTTATAATATTTTAATACAAATATTTATATATTATTTATTTTTATAAAGTATCTATATTTTTATAATTCTTCTTAATATTACATGAGAATATAATATAATTATTACATATCATAATATTAAAATTTGTATAACAATATTTTAGAATAAAAAATTATATTTTAACTATTACACGAACATATTTAAAATTTAAGTGACATTATAATAAAATAATGAAATTTTCCTTGAATATTTTGCAACGTATTCGATAACCAATCGTTGCTTGAATGGATTTCAATATACAATTTCTCATCGCACAAATTGACCCTTACGACAACCTAGAACAATTGTTTTCGTAACCTTAACGGTGACATATGTTTGTGTTTCTGCATGTTTGGTTCCACTGAGTACGATGACTCTTGTACATTCGAATCATACTTTGCATCCTGTTAACGGTTCGAATAGAAATCTCATAGTTTTTGCGACACCATTTCTGTACCTTTCGATTCATGTAAACAAATATGAGATCGAAACGTTATTATTCTAAGACTGCTTCTGCATATTAAAATTGATCTACTGTCTTATTATGTATTTACGCGTAACTGTTTTTTATTAATATAAATAATTGGTATAATAATAATATATATTTATAATCAATAACTTGAAATTGAGACCTATATTATTTGGGATTCAGCATTGAATAAGAATTTATATATTATTAACAATTAATAAAAAATACTATATTATTAAATATATTTACAGAAAAATTATTTTAAATATATGTCATTAAATTAAATCACATTTTTTCTTTACGCAATAATTCACATTTATATAATTTTTCAACCTCAAATAATTTTCTATAGAAATATTTCCTCTTTCGATCTCTTTTTCGACTATACGATTAATACATATTTTATTTCGAATCAGACCAACAATTATCGATATTTTACATATTATTATACAAGATTCACTTGTCTCTCTTCCTACGTATACCAAAGTAGTTATTTGATCATACTCAATGTCTTCGAAAGAGTCGTATTTTTCGTTGCCTCAGTTAATTATGACCATCTCGATGACATAGGACAACCTGGTTCAACCAACAAAGGCAATGAAGTTGTTCTTGCTCGCCAGTTCCGTGCACTTTGTTATTCAACCTCGAAAAGCGGTGTCTCTCTGTGTCGATCTGGTTTATTGTTTGCAAAGCCGATGCTTTACCCTCCAAGATTTTGAATACGCAACATCGTGAAGCATAGTTGCAAGTGCAAAGCCGCGTTGAGCATTTAGGACATGACGTCCCTCACCCCTCCTTTTTTTTTATCCTATACACCTCTATATAAACTGCCGGTGTGCGCGTTCTGGCATTCTAATTCTTT